ACCCATTCGGCATTCCAACCAGCAGGACATGTTAGAGCTGCTTCTTTAGTGGCAACCACGCAGCACAAAAGAATCAGGCACTTGGGGCTCTCGTTCTGGCACCGACTAGCCATGAAACCTGCAGCAAATCACACAGTTTTCTGAGCCACAGGTTCCTCCCCTGAAAACTCAAATGTCTTAATGGAATCAAAAGACAAGCCACACTGGGAGAAAAATATCTGAAGACACATATCTGATACAGGACTTGTATCTAAAACATATAAAGAACTCTTAAACCCCAACAATAAGATAACAAACAACCCAATTAAAAATGGGCAAAATATCTGAATAGACATCAGATACACAGATGGCAAGAAAGCACATGAAAAGATGCTCAACATCACAGGCCATTAGAGAACTGAAAATTAAAACAATACCCCTACACACCGATTAGAAAGGATAAAATTCTAAACAGTGGCAATGAATGCTGGAAGGGATGTGGAAAAACAGGAAATCTCATTCCTTGCTGTTGGAAATGCAAAATGGGACAGCCTCTTTGGAAGACAGTTTGGCAGTTTCTTACAAAACTAAACATACTTTTACCATACGACCCAGCAACTGTGCTCCTTGACACTTACCCAAATAAGGTGAAATCTAATGTCCACACAAAAACTTTCACATGAATGTTTACAGAAGCTTTTGTTCATAATTGCCAAAGCTTGGAAGCAACCAAGCTGCCCTTCAACAGGTGAATAAACTGTGGCATATCCATACAGTGCAGTAGTACTCGGTGATAAAAAGGAAATGAGTTATCAAGCCATGAAGAGAGGCCGTCTGAAAAGACTGCATACTGTATGATTCCAACTATAGGACAGTCTGGAAAAGGCAAAACTATAGAGATGAAGAGATCACTGGTTACCAGGCGTTCAGAGGGAGAGAGAGAGGGATGAAGAGCTGGAGCACAGATGATTTTTAGGGCAGTAAAACCATTCTGTATGACATTGTAATGGTGGACACAAGACATTACACATTGGCCAAAACCCACAGAATGTATAACACGAAGAGTGAATCCTAATGTAAACTATGGACTTTAGTTAATAATAATGTGTCAGTTCATTCATTCATCATCTAATTCATCATCTAATTCTTTTATCATTCATTCATCATCTAATTCATTCATCAGCTATAACCAATGTACCACACTAGTGCAGATGTTAACAACAGGGCTCACTGTGATGGGGGGAGGGGCATATGGGAGCTCTCTGTAGTTTCTGCTGCATTTTTCTGCAAATCTAAAACTGCTCTAAAAAATAAAGTCTGTTAAAATAAACCAAAACCTCAAAGATTCCCCACTAACTCTACTGTTGAAGGCTCTGTGGCTAAGTGCATGTGCTTGTACACAAATAATTCAGCACATTATAGCAAGATGGGAGACAGAGAAGGAAAAGAAGACTGCCTGAATTATTCTGCAAATTATAGGTGAATGAAACATTTGGCTATAATACTTTAAAAATGCATTTGTTCCAAACTAGCGCTTACCAGCAGGGAGAGGGAAGAGGGCAGGGGCATTATAGGAGTAGGGGAGTCAGAGGTACAAACTATCAGGTATAAAACACGCTCTAAGGATATACTGTACAACACAGGGAATATAGTCAATATTTTATGATAACTATAAATGGAGTATAACCTTTAAATAGTGTGAATCACTATACTGTACACCTGTAACATATAATATTGTAGAGCAACTATACTTCAATATAAATAAATAAAAAATAAATAAAAATTTTAAAAATGCATTTGTTCCTATTTGCAAACATTAGGTCTTTGTATGCCTGCCTGATTTTTTTTTTTTTAAACTACTCTTGTTTTTTTTTCTTTTTTAATTAATTTATTTTTGGCTGCGTTGGGTGTTCATTGCTGCGTGCGGGCTTTCTCTAGGTGCGGCAAGCAGGGGCTACTCTTCCTTGAGGTGTGCGGGCTTCTTATTGTGGTGGCTTCTCTTGTTGTGGAGCACGGGCTTTAGGCACGCGGGCTTCAGTAGCTGTGGCACACGGGCTTCAGTAGTTGTGGCTCATGGGCTATAGAGTGCAGGCTCAGTAGTTGTGGCGCGTGGGCTTAGTTGCTCCGCGGCATGCGGGATCCTCCCGAAACCAGGGCTCAAACCCATGTCCCCTGCACCAGCAGGCGGATTCTTAACCCCTGCACCACCAGGGAAGACCCGGCCTGCCTGATTTTTGCATGATTTCTTTTCTCGGTTTCTTTCAGTACTGCTGCTACTTTGCTCTAACTAGTCATCCCTAGTTTGCCACCTTCTTGTTCTCCTTTCATCATTCACTCTGCTCCAATAATAAAAACGCTGATGATCACTGGTATTAATTACAATAAGCCAGCACCACCAAGTAATGACGTATTGATAACTTTCTCTGTGCTAAGTATTTCACACTCTTTCTCTCTTAATCTTCACAACACGCTCTGAGGCTGGTACTGTTATTATTACTTTAATTGAACAGATGTGAAATGAAGGCTTTGAGGCTTGACTTAAGGTAACTCGTCTCAGCATATCAAGCTAGCAGGCAGCAGAGGAGCACCAGACTCCAGGTCTTATTCTGAAACCCTGCCCAGGAGCCTTGCTCTCCACTGCCTGCTGTGGGCATGTGTGCTCACATGCACACAAGCAGATCTGCACTTATGAATACAGACCTGTGGGATCGTATGTTTGCAGCGATACCTCATCTGTTTGGGTTTGTAGGTTCAAACGTCATAAGGTTGTCACCACTGGAAACAACTGAAACCATAATTAGGATAAACTGTTCCTTAGTGGCACAGTGCCTCACTTTGCCAAGTGCCGCTTCAGCCCTCAGGCTGGGATGGTTGTTGGGATTTTCTCACACATTAAGGGCTGTGTAAATCAGCTGAAAGAGGCTGTTGAGATAGGACTTAAATCATTTCCTCTCTTACACACACCTATGACTCTATCTCATCCTTGACCTCACCACCTTTTTTATAAAACCAAGAGCCTCCTAAAAAGAGACGGCAAGGTGTGGTCTCATTTGGTCACATGGTGATGAATGGTTTAGCAGCTCTTCCAAAGGGGGCAAGGATGAAGTTCCAGCAAGCCACATTTTTTTAATCCTGAGACTGATATACCCATCTCTGAAGATAATTCATCTGTATCATGCTTCCTACTTAAGTGCTACCAAAAGAAATATATATTCTTTCAAGTCCAGAAGAAAATCAACATGTTCTTAAAAATGGAGACAAAATGGAAATGGACAATTATTTTCCTTCCAGATGAACGTGCAGAACATTTTCTAATGTATTATGAAACCTGATCAAAATACATTTAATTCCTATACTGACCAAAACAAGATTTTGTGGTTACATCACTATGTTATACCTTTATGAGGGTGGTTAAATATTATACTGCGTGGTGGCAATGCAGATGTAAGATGAACAGATCATTTCATAAGGAAAACTGCAATCTCATCATCTCACTTTGGTTATTTTCAAACACCCTAAAAACTATTATTGACCATGCAGCTTACTGGGGTCTTAAAAAGTAAAAAATAAAACCTTACATCTGCCAAAGTCAACAGAGCTTTCCGGAAGTCACCAGATGTTTCAGAACTAATTTCATCTCCAAGACTCTTCTTATACACTGAAACCAGATAAGAATGAAATTAAGCCTTGGTGAACTAAAAAATATTATTATAAAACACAGAAAAGCTTAAAATGTCAACATTGGCAAGGAATGAATACCTGATAAAATAAATCTTGTTTCTTCTTTTTTTTAAAAATCTTTTAGTGCTCTTCTGATATGGATACATTCTTCTTGTAACTATTACTGCAGTGTGTGGTGTGATGGATGCACAAGAACAGAAACAACTGCCATTCTGGATCAAATCACGGTTCATTTTATCTGACAAAGGCACTAAGGAAGGTATAGTGAGAAAGCTAGGATCGGCAAGCTGTTAGTTTGCCCTTCCAATTTCTATTATGTCCGCCTTCCATAGGACTAGAACCCTGGCCTTAAGCAAGATACAATGTACACAGCGTAAAGACCACGTTCTCAGCTCTCCTCTTGGCAATGAAACGTAGGCAGACCTGCGTGACATTGCTGGGAAATCTCCTTAATGATGGCTCATGCCAATCTTAGCTCCTTACTCCAGCCTACTGCCTGGTGTGTAGATTGATCCTTGGAGCTTGGGCAGCCATCTTGGTCTACGCAGGACTATATCTGAGCGATGGCATAAAAATAAGCAGGAAGGGGCCTGGGTTCCTTAAAGTTTTGAGGCGCTGTCATGCCAGTCCTAGAATTGTCTGTCTCCAGACTGCTTCTACATATGAGATAAATAAATGTTTATCTTATTTAAACCACTGTTATTTTTCTGTTTTATTGACTCTAACCCTAATCTTACCGCATACAGTTAGAATGTATCATTTGATAGGTCTCAAAAGTAAGAAAGCTTCCCGAAAACATACTGTTTCCCCATAACAAATGCCAACTGTGTGTTCGCATATTTTTAGTACTGAATAGTTGTAGCTCCTTTTGCATAGCCTGTGATGTGCAGTGTCCACTGAATTTTAAATCTCTGTTCTGCTCCACCCATGGAGCAGTGATTCTCTTCGAGCCACTGTATACCTGGATGCAGCTGACACCAGGTGGCTATTTGAACTCCACCTGCATCATCCTCAAGACCGCTATAAAATTAGTCATATGAATGCTTGTCCTTTCAAATCAGTAAAAGACGACTATAGAAAGTGATGTGAGATTATCTAATAGCAAGAACTGTGTTGAGAAATTCTTCCAGCGTGATTTTAATCAGTCGCTTTTTATGAAATCTGTAATTTTCCAGAGCAATTCAAGTAAACAAAATCCACTATAAAGACAGATTATTTATCTAAGTAATAACATTTAGTAGGCATCATTTTCCCTAATAGTCACATTATTGTTACATCTCTCCTTCCTTCACTCTATGAAAAAAATTTTTTAATTTAAAAATATCAAGCCAAGGGCTTCCCTGGTGGCGCAGTGGTTGAGAGTCCGCCTGTTGATGCAGAGGACACGGGTTCGTGCCCCGGTCCGGGAGGATCCCACATGCTGCGGAGCAGCTGGGCCCGTGAGCCACGGCCGCTGAGCCTGCGCGTCCGGAGCCTGTGCTCCGCAATGGGAGAGGCCACAGCAGTGAGAGGCCCGCGTACCGCAAAAAAAAAAAAAAAAAAAATCAAGCCAAAAAAATGAAGCTCTCAATTGTTAGAATTTGGGGAAGTATTTTATAATTTTAGAATTATCTACATGAGTCTCACACAGCCTCCCACACCTCTCCTCTACCCCAGGTATTCTGCAGGAAACTAGACTCAAAATATGAAAATTATTTTGATGCAAGTTGAAAACTACCTTATGCATTTTGAGACACAAAAGGGTAGAGAAAAACAGATACAATGTTTTAATAGTGCAGAAGCTGAACTTAGAGTTCTTGATCCTGAGTCAATGTTCTCTCATGCACCATTAACTTTAGAATACTGGAAAGAGTTCAGAATTTAGCTCTCCATTCATTTAGGTGCTACTGTATCATTGTAGTGTGTGAGCCACTCAGTATGCCTGGTCCTTTTATGAGGGCCAAGTTGATAGGTCCTCTGATGGATTTCTAATGCATGGGTCACCATTGCACATTACATGATGCCATCACTCTTGCTACAGTTGAGTGCATCAGGGCTGGCATCTGACTATAAGTGGCCAGCTGTCTACAAGGTGACCTGGTGGGAGAACTTTGCCCAAAAGAAGGCTCTCTACTAGATAGTGCCTTTCTGAGCCCATTGAATCTTCTCTTAGGGAGTGAGATGTACAGAATTGTTTAACAAGAGTAACAAAGAAGTGGAAAGACCCCCAGAAATAAGGCACAAAACACAAGTCAAGAATAACAGCCAGAAACCATGGGCAAATAGAAACCTTGAGTAGACAAACGTCATGTGGTAAGGGAAGAGAAGTTTCTTGGTGGTGTCAAGAACAGTAGAGGCAGAGAGGTAAGGCAAATTTGGAGTTAATAGGATGAAAATGTGCACAGGGAGCAGTGGATGTCTGATGCTGAGGGAGTGACTAGACAGCTGAGTCCCTAGCTGTGTCCTGAATCTCTGTACAGCTTGGCTATACCTGATTGAGACTATTTCTTTCTTTTACTTCTTGTGTATCATGAATCCCTACTTACCAAGGGAACCTCGATGCAGTTCAATTCCTTGTAGCCTTAGAGAACTTAACTCACACAGATACCAGAGCATCTGGTAACTCTGAACAATGACCACTTGTCATATTTGCAAAACAACAGTCCTAAATGCTAAGACATTCACTTTGGCTCTTAAGATCCCAGATCTCAATCTTAAGGATATTCATTCAACGAATATTTGAATTTATCCCCCACTGTTCTGGGCACTGGAGATACAGCAGTGAGCAAAACAGACAAAACTCGGCCCCTTCATAGAGCTTACATCCTAGGGTTGTTTGTACATAAATGCTGAACTCCAGGGAGAATCGTGGGGCCAGTCAACTCATGGAGCGGTAACTCTTCTAAGAAACACAGGGAAGTAACATAGCATCTGGAGGTAGAGCCCCTGGATCTGATGATTTTTTTACGTGTACATCTTGTTGAAATGAGGGAACCAAATATGTTAAACACCTACAATGTACCCATTTGTGCCCATTATTAAGCAATTATCTCATCTACCCCAAATTTGCCCTTCTATACCTTGCTTTGTGGAGCTGGGGTTGGGACTCTGCAAATAACATTTCTCTTTTATCCCCCGTCCTCCACCTCCCCGTCAGTTTCCACCAATGGGGGGAGCAGAGGGAGATGAGATGGAAGGCAGGAGGAGGAAGGAAGGACACGCTATTATTGGCTTGTGATCCACATCAGTGTCAACCCAGTGACAGGCTTTCACCCTGACAGCAGCAGTTGGCTCCAGGCTCCTAGAGCAAGTCACCTGTTTACATGCCCTTGGAGGTACTAGCTCCAGCTAGATGGAGGCCCTTCCCTTTCACAGAGATCTGAACTCCAATTCCTAGGGCCTCTCCTCTGAGCCCCTGAAGTACCAACACCAGAAACTGGTGCCCTCCTTTGGGCTTCTAGTTTCTGAAAATCCCAATCTCTTCCTTTGTCGTCCCAGCCTTGAGGATTATACCTCTGAGCTGTGTTTCTGTTTTGCTTTTTCAGTCCTCCAAAAAGGTACTTAAGCAATTCTCTGCATTAAATTCTCTGTTAAAATACCTAGTGCATTTCTGTTTTTCTGACTAGACCTCATTAGCATACCAACAATAAAACAGGCACTTACCTATCATTGAGGTATTTACCTTCTAATGGAAATTTCTCAAAGTAACCTCTTTAACACCCACTGGGGGCCGGTATATCCGTTTTTTGTACCTTTCCTACCTCAGAAGTTTCCTAATACACAGCTGACCACCCTGATACAAAAACATAGAAACCATGGCTCCCTTAAGGTACTTGGAGGTGGTGACAGGGAGCGGTTGTTTAATAAGAATTGGGCTGGTCTTTGTACCTGGCTCCTGGGAGGTAACTTCTAAATACTTACAATTTCCCCAATAATAAGAATTTCATTGGTATTCATGGAAGGTCCCCTGAACCACACCTGAGTTTATGCTAGCAAGACGACTCCGGATGGAGCTTGGTCACACCAGAAAGACCAACCAATGTGACTAAAGGGTTAAGGCTTTAAGCCACATGATATCAGCCTGACATCTAGCGGGAGGAGGGGACTAAAGATGGAGTTCAGTCACATGGCCAGTGATGGAGTCAATCATGCCTGTGTAATAAAAACCCACTAAAAACCCTGGACACCACAGATCAAGTGAGCTTCCCTGCTTGGCAGTTAGACGTGGCTGGGCTGGGAGGGGGATGCACCCTGAAGGCATGGAAGCTCTGCGTCCAGGACCCTCCCAGACTTTTCCCTATGCATCTCCTCACTCCACCAGTCTTGATTTACATTCTTTATAGAAAACCATAATTGTAAGTATGGAGCTTTCTTGAGTTCTGTGAGCCACTCTAGTGAGTTATTGAACCTGAGAGGGTAGTTAAGAATCTGTTGCCATTTGGTCAGAAGCGCATGTGGCCTGGGAACACCTGAGCTTGTGGCTGGTGTTTGAAGTCAGAGTAGTTTTGTGGGGACTGTGCCCTTAACCTGTGAAGTCACCCTAACCGTGGGTTGTTAGTGTCAGAATGGCATTGCAGGGGCTTTCTGCTTTTTACACAGCTAACAGACTATTAGGGCTTTAGCTAATTATACTGAAGCCACATGCTCAGCACATCCTCTAAATGGTTCATCTAATTTCCCACACCAAAAATAATATGAATATACAATGATTTCAGTGTCTTACACTGATAAAAATGGTTGATTCAATTAAGCAGTGATTGCTGAGAGTGAAATCCACTATAGCTGTAATGTTACAAATGCAAAGCATTAATGCCATTGTTATGTAGCAGTTCCCAGCTCAGATCATATTAAAATTTTCTTCAAAAATCCACAGTCCTTAGCCCATTTTAGAATGTGTCTTCCTTTTTACAGTCATGCTTCCCTCAAAACCACTTGTGAAGAAAGAATGGTGGGTTTCTGGGAAAAGCAGCATTGGCTCCTATAGGTGTGAACAGGGGTAAAGGTGGGCAGAAAATAAGATCACCTGTATAGTAGGCTTGGCCAATCTCCTTCATCTGCCTGCTTGTCCTGGTGGTTAAGATTTCAATCAGTGCATCTTCATTTGTTCCCGTGCCCTAAGAAGAAAAAGGATATCTATTTTTAGAACACTTTAAAAAAAACCTAGTTTCATGCATTGCGGTCTTAACATCTTGTTTTCTACAGGTGAAAAGAACAGTTTTTAGTCAATCAACATAAGGTCCTCTATTGCTCTAAAGTGGTTTTCTAATTTTCCATATATTTTAGTATGAAAATAACATGAATCATCTGAAGTTAACCGACATTAAGCTTCTAAAGAAAACGTCCTACTCTAGCGTAAAACTCCTTTGAATAATTCCAGGAAGAAATAGTATAAAGGGAAAGCCTATGTCATTCAGTACCAAAAGTGAGCATTCACATATGTCATTGTATTTAGAAAGGGCTCTGCAATTCTTTTGAAGGAGACCATACTTGTACCAATGCACCTGGTTGGTCAGCATGGATCGTCCTCTTCATTCAGGGAGATTTTTAAAGCCTCAGTAATGTATGTCATGAGCCTAGTTGGTTTGGGGACTAGTGTTTCCTGAGTCCTGGTTTATACTGAGGTCACTGAATCACACTGAGACTTCAACAGAAGCCATTTACATTAGGACTTGACCAAATAAGGCCAAAGTAGCATAAGAAAAGAGGCTGAATTCTGTCCCTCTGTGACAGATTCCTAGTTCCCCCCAATAGCTCTCCTTTTCAAATTATTTATTTATTTTGTTAGTTACTTTTTTTTTTTTTTTTTTTTGCGGTACGCGGGCCTCTCACTTCTGGGGCCTCTCCCGTTGTGGAGCACAGGCTCCGTACGCGCAGGCTCAGCGGCCATGGCTCACGGGCCCAGCCGCTCCGTGGCATGTGGGATCTTCCCGGACCGGGGCACGAACCCGTGTCCCCTGAATCGGCAGGTGGACTCTCAACCACTGCGCCACCAGGGAAGCCTGTTAGTTACTTATTTTTAAATAAACTTTTTTTGGGTTTTTTGGTTGTTCTTCTTTTTAAAAATTGTATTGGAGTACAGCTGATTTACAATGTTGTGTTAGTTTCAGGTGTACAGCAAAGTGATTCAGTTATACATAAAGATATATTCATTCTTTATCAGATTCTTTTCTCATATAGGTTATCACAGATTATTGAGTAGAGTTCCCTGTGTTATACAGCGGGTCCTTGCTGGTTACCTATCTTATATATTGTAATGTGTGTATGTTAATCCCAAGCTCCTGATTTATTTTATTCTATTTTATTATTTTTTTTTTTTTCCCCTGATTTATTTTAGGGCAGTTTTAGGTTTAGGGCAAAACTGAGAAGATCCAGTATCTCTTTTATCTTCCTTGACTAGTCATAGAACCCCCATTTTTTAACTTAGCACAAAGCTAACCAAATAAAGACCATATTTTTCAGCTTCCCTTAGAGCTAGGTTTATCCATATAACTAAATTCTGATCGATGGACTATATGTGAAGTATCCTGTACAATTTCAGAGAGTCCTTAAAGAGAAAGGATGAACACGTCTTTGTCTCTTACTCTTTCCAGTTGACTGCAATAAAGATATAATGGCTGGATGTTGAGCTGCCATCTAGCCAAGAAGTGGAATCTACAGGCTGAAGATGGCAGAAACTCAAGACTGAAGGTCTGATGATGATGGTTCCATGATACCCAGCTCTGGGTTGCTTCCTTTGGAATTCTTTTACATAGGAGGGAAACATTTCTAATCCTTGCTGGTGAATCTAATTCTTACCATTTCACCTGCGAAACTGTCCCCCATGTGGCAGCCATAGAAATGCACTGCTGAGATTTCATGTCAAGAGAATATACTGCCAAGAATGTAGTTAGCTGGCAGCCTCCAACTGCCACACCTTTGGATCTGTCACACAGTTCACACTAAGGTCATGCTCTCTCCAGGCTGCTTTCAGCCATGACTGCACATGGAAGGGGAGCTGGAGCTGGGCCATTCCTGCCCCACGTAGGACCCTCCAAAGGGCACACTTTGCTCAGGGGCTCCCCATCAGCTTGCCATGGCTTTCTTACAGCAGCACTACAGGCTGAGGCTCTTCCTATCTGAGCCTCCTTCTGTCCCTCTCTCCTTTCACAGGTGTCAGACCTGTATTGCAGTCAGAAGTTTCACCCCACCCACCCTACTCTGTCTCTTCTTCATCCTTCACAAGGATTTCCCCCAGTAAATCTCTTGTACATTTAATTCCATCTTGCCATCTGCTTCTTGGGTGCCCACACCTCTTCCACAGAAAAGAAAATAACTCCTGTCTCTGATGGGAAGGCAGAGCCTTTCTTCAGACCTGGACTCCTTCCTTTCCCTCCCTCCTGTCAACAAATATGTTGAGCACCTATCTCATTGCAGGCTTTCCTCTAGGAAGAGAGGAGGTTCCTCGAGTGATGAGGTTCCCTGATATGATGGAGGTTTGCCTTTTAATTGGATTGAAAAAAAAAAAAACGTAAATCAACAAAACACCAAAAACGTAAAATATCAATATGTAAAATACCAAAAAATTAACAAGATAACTTTAGATAGTAAAAGATAGCAATTTAAAAAATTAAACTGAGTGAATTAATAGAAAATATCTGGAAGAAAATCATTCCTGAGGGAAAGAACGTCACATATAAAGACCTCAAGATAGGAATAAGCTGAGAATGTCCAAGGAGCAGCAAGAAGGCCAGTACAGCTACAGCACTGAATTGGGGTGGCCGGCAGCTGAGGAGAGGGTGTGATGATCAGTTTTATGTGTCAATCTGGCCAGGCTACAGTCCTCAGTTATTCAATCAAACAGTAATCCAGTGTTTCTCTGAAGGTATTTTGTAGCTAAAGTCCATTATCAATTGACTTTAAGTAAGGGTGAGGTACATTAGATATTCTACGTGAGCCTAATTCAGTCAAAAAGCCTTAATTAAGAGCAGAGCTGAGGCTTCTCTGAAAAAGCAGAAATTCTACCTGTGGGCAGGAGCTCCAGCTTGGGCTAAGAGTTCCAGCCTGCCCTTCCTAACAGCCTGCCCTACAGATTTCAGATTTGCCTAGCAAGCTGGATAATGGTGTAACCAATTCCTTGCAATCAGTCTCTTACTCTATACTTCCTGCCTACTGGTTCTGCTTCTCTGGGGAAGCCTGACTGATACAGATAGAATTTTAAAAAGCCGTAGAGATAGACAGGAGCCAGACTCTGTTGGGTGATGAAGGTCATGATAAGGAGTTTGGATGTTCAGTAGTCAAAACCACTGGAGATTTATGCAGGTGAACAGTATAATCTGATTCTAAAAGTAACTTTATACAAATAATTTTGGCTATTCTGTGGTGAATGGATTTGAGGAGGGCAAAAATAGAGGCAAAGGGACCACTTCCGGGGATATTGACATGGTCCAGTCAACAGATGATAGTGGTTGAACGAGAATGAAAGCAATGGATCTGGAAGGAGGGACACGCACACATTTTTGATGGATTCTGGAGTGGAGCTAATGGGCTTGTTGATAGATTTCGGAGCTTTGAAGCGTGAGAGAAGGCAAGGGATCAAGGATAGTTCTAGGTTTCTGACCTAAACAATGGGGTTAATGATGGTGCCGTTGACTCAATAACAACAAAATAAAGAATTTGACACCTCAGGTCAGAAAAACAAACAAAATTAGGCTCTGACCATATCCTTTCAGGCCAGGAACATGAGGGCTTAAGGTTCCACAACTGCTTCCCATTTCAGGGTTGTTCTACTAATTGGAGAGCACAGAATCTCCAAATCCATCACATTTACACCCATATCTCAAGTGTGCGCCAGAAGAAAGTCACTCTTTCTGATGATCAAGTGCTGGGCAGAAACAGCTTGTGTAGGTCTCATACCTTCATGGATTTCTTCAGCTGTTTCGCATCAAACACTGCCGGTGGGGTCACGAGGGCCACCATGAGACACTTGATGTGGCCAGAGAGATCACCCTTCAAGTCACCTTTCAGTTCCTAAAATTAAAAGCCCGAAGAGAAAAGTATGAAATACTTCTTTCTCTTCCTCCAAAGTCACCTAGTGAAAGACGAACACGAATATATGAATTCAGACAAAAACATGCCCATCCGCAGGAGATAAGCAGAAATGGTGAAAATATTTCTATGGATATTAGCCTGCATTTTATGATCACTTCCAAAATGTTCTGTTTTATAGACGGTTTTCTGAAGGGAAGCCAGTGAAGAAGCTTCTCTGAGGGCCACAGATAGGAACTGGGTATTAAAATGCATTTCCCAGGCCCTTGATGCTCTCAATGCTTGGGTTGGGCTGAGGGAAGAGGAAGGGGAGGAGGAACCCCATAATTCACACCCAGCTTCACTGGGAGGTGCTCTAATCCTGCCTTGCTTCTCGGTAACTGCCAAAGAGTTTTGAAGGGAAAAGGGGAGGGAAGACAGTGCTTGGTCATTTGCCTCTGGTAAGAGCGTGGAACTAGGAGGCATCAAAAGCAGTTTTCTGGCAACAGCAAGAGGGGAAACCCGAAACGTGGTAATAGGGGGACCTTACTTATTGATGTTCTCCTTCAGCAGTGTTTTCATACATTACATAAGTACGGTCCATCTCCCCTGTTTGAAGGCAGGTAACGTGGTTTCGATTTTTAATATCCGAAGGAGTGTTATTGAATAATTATATTTCCTGCTCTTGATTATTTTCAGCCCTGAAACAGAGGCTGGAAGCCTCCCAGACTGCTATGACAATGTGGGTACAGACCAACATCTTCCATGACACTTGGGGGCCCAGCAGGGGCATGCTCCTGCCAAAACAAATGGGATGGAGCGGAGCCACTGCAGTCATCATGGGGTGTTTCCTCTCCAAATGCTAAATTCCACCCCTATCTGTCCTCAACCCAAGACTTTCCAACTGAATCCTACTTCACATGCTCTCATTCTGTCCCACTGTGAGACATGGTTGTCACCCTTCAGCTCCATCCTTCCTCCATATTTTGGAAATCCTGAAAGGCCAATGGATCACTCACAATCCCTGTACATGAGTATGCTGCCTTGCCCAGAAGCTCGGCAATTCAGTTAAGCTGACAAAAGTTTATGGGGCGCCTGCTCTGTGTTAGGCACTTAATTGGTGAGTCAGACACAATCCTTACCCCTATGACATTACTCCCTAATGAGAAAAATAGAAATAGTCAAAGTTAAATTTCAGCATAATATGTTAAGTATCTAATAAAGGGAACACAGAGAAGGGTGTCTTAATGGAGCCCAGGGGCTCGGAGAACACTGACAGGTGATGCCTCAGCTGCCTTGGATGGTCACTACACACTCTCAATTCTGGACCCAATAGCCTGACTGGATTGTGTTTCCACCCTTTCCCCTACACAGTTCCTTAGCCACAGAAGCTAAAATAATCTTCAAAAAATATAAATTAGGTTACAGTATTTCCTTTCTTACAAACCTCCAATTGTTCCCTATTCTTAGAATAAAATCTAAACTCTGCACCAAGACCCCAAGGTCCAGCATGTTCTAAGCCTCTCTTCAACCTCATCTCTTCCCTCTGTCACCCTTTACTGTCTATACTCCTGCCATATTAGAACACTTCCTGTTTCTTAAGTACTCCCAGCTTGTTTTGGCCTCAGGGCTTTTGCATTTGCTGGACATTCTGTCTGAAATGCTCTTCCCCAGGTCAAGCAGAGCAGAAACCTGAGTATCGTTCAGTCTTTATTGAGAGTAAGGTAACAACCTGTCACTGACGTTTCTTCACCACATGATCTAAAGGAGCCATTCACCAGTCATTCTCTAGCATATCATCCATTTTAATACTTTCATAGCACCTACCAATATCTGAATTTGTTTTATTTATATATTTGTTATTTTTCTAATAGAATGTTAGGTCCATTAAATAGAGGAGGCTCTGCTTTTCACTCCAGTGAATCTCCAATGTCTAGAATATCTCCTGACATAGAGTAGTACCCCACTCCTAACACACAGTAGTTTATTACTGAACAAATAAACTGCTTGGAAAAGACACACAAAATGTTCTTGAATAGTTCTTGTACAGTTTCTGGTAATGAAGAAATATTCATCTGCCGAACAAATTTTTTAAAAAAATCTATAATTACATAAACATATTAAAGTTGGAAAAGAAATTAAAGATCATCTAAGACAGGATTTATCAGGTAATTGATCAGATAATTCTTTATTGTGGGGGACTGTCTTGTGCACTGTAGGATGTTTAGCAGCATCCCTGACCTCTGCCCACGAGATACCAGAAACATCCTCCCGTCTCCCACCAGTTGTGACAATCAAAATGTCTGGAGACATTGTCAAATATCCCCTGGGAAGCAAAATCCTTCCCGGTTTATAGCCACTGATCCAAGGCAACTCTCCTTATTCAACAGGTGAAGATAACTGAGCCCCAGAAAGTTCAAATAACATGTCCAAGGCCACTCAGACAGTTAGGGAAAAGACCAGGACTCCTATTCCAGGCTGTTGACTGGATACATAGGGTACTTTCTGTTACACTTGGCCTGAAACAAAAGATCTGTGGGAGCAGCCTTGATCCATTAGTGATTAGCCCTTTACTGCCTGTTATGTTAATGAAATCTTACCTTTCCATATGCTGCTTGATATTCCTTAGCAATCAGCTGCCGCTGTGCATTCGACCTCTCAGTCAGAATGCTAATGAGCGTTTTCTCATCGGTTCCTAAATGAAACGAAAATAATTGTATTCACCATCAACTCCAATATGCGTAATATCTGTTGTGAACAAAAGAAAAATGATGAATGGTCTGAAACAAATGCAGAGAGGAAGGCATTTTAATTTTTAATTTCCAGGTCTTACCAGGTTGGCATCTTTCTTTCTTTGATTGCCTGGCTTTTGGAAAAGAAAATTAACTTTATTTGTATCGTTTAGGGGGAAGAAAACCATCATTGCCCAAATATTCCTATCTGTATATCAGACAGAGGAGTAGCACAAAGAACATACTGCTTTGGAAGTAGGTTTTCTCATCCTTCTGAGGTTCAGTTACTGTCTTATCACCTTTTATCTTTCTATCTCCATATTTGATATAAAAAGTCATTTTTTTTCCTCTAGAAAAAAAGGAACTGACATTTATCAAGAACCTACCACATACTAGGCACCTTTTATTCATTGTCATAGTTAATATTCACAGGGCCCTGGGCAGTAGGTATGATTAAGCTGTTCTAAAGATAAAGACACTAACATTTAGAAAACTTACCTCACTTGCCAAAGTCAGGCAGCTTTTAAGTGGCACAGCAAGAATCTGAAGCCAAATCTCTTAATCCAAAACATCTATTTCTATCAGTGGTCCATACCTCTTTCAGGCATTTCAGACCCATATACTTAACCACCTGTTGTAAGTACAAGTAAAGGGCTGACGCTGGCCTGCCTGAAAACAACCTCCAGGTCACTATTTTTTTGGTAATTATAGTATTAAGATAATGTGAGAAGTTGTGTCTGCTCCTTTGTGGTAGAGGACTGCCCCTGGGCTGGGGGCTGTGAGTTGGCTTCTGTCTTGGGCCTGCATGGCTAGAATGGTATAAAAGATCCACTGGAATTCAAGGCTCAACTTCCCTGTGTTGAGGTGACCCACACACACCTTACACCCATGGCAGTGGCACACACTCTACCTGAATGACGGGGCAAAAGGAACGGTGTACTTGATTAGCTGCTGGGACTCCTAGTGACAGACGTTGCCCCACGGGGGTCTTTGGTCTTGTAGTCTTCTGCATAGTTAAGTAAAGAGAGTTAGATTAACCCTCATTGTGCCCTGTGAGTCTGATTATCAACTTGGACCTATAAAGGTATCTGAGTTGGTGCACGACTAGACACCTCCAACTACAAGTATCTCAAAGTCAGCTGCTCCAGGTTGGATTCATTCTATTTCTTCTCTAACTTGTCTTTCATCCTATGTTCCCTCACCAATGACACCACTAAAGATGCAGTCATCCAACCAAAGATCCTGGGGAGTTATACTCCTTTCTTTTCCTTACTTCTTACATTGTAACAGTCACCTGCATCTCTTGGATTTGTCCTCTTCTCTGCCACTGTGCGCTCATCATATTTTACCTAGAAACTTCAATAGCCTCCTAACTTGACCCCCTTATAATTTTTACTGTATATTACTGCCTAAGTAAATTTTTTTTCTAAGTAAATTTTTTTAATGCATCAGATCATGTCAGTTCCTTTTTTGAAATTCTAATGATTCTCCGTAACCTTCGGGATGAAGTTTAAGCCCCTTAGCTTGTGCACCAGCTAATTAGGACCTAGCTCCCACCTCATATTCTAATTTCCTACCCCCTTCTCTGCATCTCTATACCCTTTGCCACTAGGCTCCAGACATAACTGACTACCCACAGTTACATGTAGGTTGTACGCCAGGCAATTTCTCCTCTCTTATTTCTGCACGTGCTACACGCTCAAGACCAGAAATTAAACCAAGATGTCTCGTGGTTCAGAGGCTGGATCTGACACGTCCCTAAGGCAAATGCCACCATGACGCCTGGTTTTGGTGTTGGGAGTAGTGCCTACAAACAAAAACCTCCTTCTCAAAGCGGGCCTGCCAATCAAAATGTGTAAATTAGTGAAGAAACATAATGTTAAGGAAGAAAGACAAGCGATAGAATTTAAAGACCATTAATTCATTCAAATTGACATTAACTTCATGGAAAAGTCTATTCAACCCTGTGTTTAAATAGGCAATCAAAGAGACAGAGAAAGAAATAACTTTCATTTAAAAATAGCAATAAAAAAAACCTAAACAGGCAGAAATACAATAATATTACACTGATAGTAATAGTATAATTACTATTATGAACCTTAATAGTATAATTCATGGAACTTTACAAACTGACCCTCAAATTCATAGGACAGGGCAAAGCCAGGAAAATCTCTTGCCTTACTAGACACTAAGTGTCATTATAAAATAATAATAATTATGTAATAGTCATAATAGCAATTATGACAATGTTATATTGAGACAGTGAGAGGCAAACAGACCAATGGAATGTAACAGAGAGCAGAAAAATAGCAAAACTTATAGGACAGCAGTGGCATTACAAATCAGTGTGGCAAGGATGAACTCTTCAATTGATTGCACTGGGACAATTACATAGCCACTTGAGATAAAATAAAATTAGATTTAAATGCCATTCACAAACATTAATTCCAGGCAGATTAAAGATCTCAGTGGGAAAAATAAGATTGTAAAATTTGGGGGAGAAAATACAGGAGGATATCTTTATGAGCTCATCATAGAAAAGACACAATAAGTACAAATCATTACAAAAAATATTGGTAAACTTAATTTCACTAAAATTTAAAACTTCTATGTGATAAAAGTTACTGTAGCCAATATTAAAAGAAAATTACAGGTCTTCCCTGGTGGCGCAGTTGTTGAGAGTCCGCCTGCCGATGCAGGGGACACGGGTTCGTGCCCTGGTCCGGGAAGATCCCACATGCGGCAGAGCGGCTGGGCCCGTGAGCCATGGCCGCTGAGCCTGCGCGTCCGGAGCCTGTGCTCCGCAACGTGAGAGGCCACAACGGTGAGAGGCCCGCGTATCGCAAAAAAAAAAGAAAATTACCTTCTTGGAGAAAGTATTTTCATAGCTTGTAATTTTTTTAAAAAGTTTTGTATCCAGAATTTATTTTAAAAAATAAATTTTAAATTTAAAAGTAAAAATTTTTTCTTGCCAAGCACAAAGAAGACAACCCAGCTGAAAAATGGATAAAAGATATGGAGGTGTAATTCATGGAAAAAGAAGAAAATAAACAAGAGAGGATGCTTAACTGCATCAATAATGGGGGATGGGGAGGAGGAAGGAAACAGATACAGAATGAGGTACAATTTTAGATCCACTCAATTGGAAAAACGGAATAGGATGACTGCCGCAAGTACTGATGAGAATACGGAGAAAGAGGAAGTCTCATATATTGCTGGCAGGAATACTAATTTGCATATTTATTTGAGAGAGCAGTGTGGCAAAATTTCTAGTTAATCTGGAGATGAACATTACCTTCAACCCAGACATTTCAACCATTATATTCTAGAGGTGCTAGCAAATGTGCACAACGAGACATAAGCATGACTATTCAATGCAATATTTTTATATTGTAATAGAAAAGAACTGTAAGCAATTTAAGTGTTCACTCACTATTCCCATCTTACGATGTAATAAACTATCCTGCAGTTAAAAATTAATGAACTAGAGCTAAACATATCAACATGGATAAATCTCAAAAACATAATGTTAAGGGACAAAATAACAAGCTGCAGAAGAAAACATAAGGTAGGATTTCAATTTATACTGTTTGTGCCCATGCACAACAATAGGTACATACATATGGAGTACAAAATTAGAAGTTTTGTGGGAATAAATTCTAATTTAGAATGCTGTTTATCTCTAGGGAATGAGGTGGGAATGAGATCCAGGCAGAATCGTCAGGGACTGTATCTATAATGATTTATGGTGATGATGATGATGATGATGATTGTTGGTAGCAGTGATGGTCATGGTAGTGTTTAATATTAAACAAACATGGCAAATATTAAGACATAATAAACTAACACACCACTGTAAAGCAATTATACCCCAATAAAGATGTTAAAAAATATATATATATATAATAAAACTGGGTTCCCTATACTTTGCCGCATTATTTCACAATTTTTTTAAAGTACCTTATAATTTCTCTAATCGAGTAAGGCAACTTGGGCAACCTGAACCCATGCACTTTTAGCTTTAACTTCTTGATGTGCTTCAACAATGAAAAAGGAACTGTAAAGCATCACTCACCAATTCCTCTGATTGCCTTATGAATCGCTTCAGCATCCACTGATGCGCTAAAGCTGGGATAATCTCTCATTGTCCCTCGGTGTCCAACCTAGAAGAAAATATCTGACAGTCCCACTAGTCCAAAGTGACATCTTTATTTATGTTACATACACATATTCCCATATGCCCACTGGAAACACACAACAAACCCATAATTTGCACACCTTCTTATCACTGCAGGAGTGGTTCAAGAGAGTCTCCCCACCCCAGATATGCAGGCAATATGACAGCTACCACATTTATAATAAGACCTCTCCCTTTCTTCTCTTGTGTAACAAATTGAAAATATAAAACATTCATTCGCTAGAGCAGTGAATTGTGTTAATCATGGTGATTCTGAAGAATATTTGCTTTAGTGATATCTGCATGAAAGCAGTGAGAAAGTGGAAATTTCCTCCATCTTCTTTTTTCAAGTGATACTTCAAAGCTCTTCACTGTATCTCACCTAGAAGTAACTGCAGTTTATAGACTTCAAGATGTTTTAATCAACGTTCACCATTGTCCTTGGGAAAACCTACACCAAAGGACACATAAATGAAAACCCCATTAGGACTGTCTGTTCTTAAGCTCTGTTTAATGGATGTACAACTGTGGCAGATAAATTCCCTTCTGAAAGCTCCACTGACACAGGTCTTCAAGAATAGCATGGAAGTAAAAAATGCCATGATACTAATTTTAAGCACATAAACTAGAAACTTGTCAGTAAGCTGAGAAAGACCATCCTACAGAAGGAATAAAATATCTTAAAACTGCTTAAGAGAAATTGAGAAAAATCCAAGTAAACATGTACTTATATGGTACTTCCTAACTCTGAATAAAAGTCTGTCTTTACAGTGACAATGTTTTCTTTCTAACTGATATTTCTATCCTATTACTGAGTAATACTGGCTCTGTTGTCTTGTGTTAATATGGCTTCCTTTAGGCTCTCCTGAAGTGTTTAATATTTTCATGAAAGGACATTATCTTGTCACATTAAAGTGAATGGAAAATTAATGTTCTGGCCCAGTAAAAAATGATAGTCTGTTGATTCAGTAGATTGGATTGAACAGTTTATTTCAATACAATCCAACACTGTTTCATCTTAAAGTACCCAAAATAAAGTTTTGATTCTAAAAAAGTAATTATAACAAGTTAGAAACTAATTGTAAATGTGCCTGATCTAAACCACCTGTAAGAAATCAGTCACTTCAACATAATCTTTGGAGAATTCTCTTTCTTCAAGGCTTAATAAATATTTTATGGATTCACACAGCCAACTGGCTTCATTTCAGTTCTATTCATTTAAGAACTTTCATGTTTATCTTATCTGTCCACCTTCCCTGTCTGGCATTTTAGAAGAACCATCACAACATTGGAGCATTTGAGTGCTTTGTGCCCAGCACTGTGGCACCTTTTATACATTAACTATAACCTGCACAACAGCACCAATGAATGAGTAAAAATGATCCATGTCACGTATAAGACACCAAGATTTAAGGAGATTGGAGAATTTGCTCAAGTCCACATAGCTAGTTAAGCAGCAGAATTTAAAAGCAGTTCTGAACGTTGCAGCCCATTCCTAGTCCGTCTTAAAATGTAGTCTTGGTACCGCCTGGGCTGACTCTTTTGTGAAATAAAATTCATATTTTATGGCAAGACAAGAAAAATTTAAACATAAACATTTTTTTCTGCCCTTTGGCCTCCTCTCTCCCCTCTACTGTGCACTGTGTATCTGCATTATGCATCGACCAAACCTCCCCCATTGGCAGGAATACCTGCTCAGCCATAAACAGCAACATTCTCCCAGCACCAACAAGGCAACTCCTTAAAAGATAACATTCCTTCTTGATCATGACCTACCCCTTTGTACTTGCAGATCTGGATTGTGTGAACTGTCAATAATACGTCATTTAATGGACAGCCCTCTGTCTCAAAAAACTTATACAACTGTGCTTTGACTTCTAGAGAGTGGAACAGTTCTCAGAGCTTTCTGAGAGGCTGTTCCTGGGTCATAATCCTCAGTTGGGTTTGAATAAAATTTTCCATTTCTTTCTTAGATCGGTTGATTGATTTTTTTGTTGATTAAAATGCATATGACCAGGCCCTGCCCTAGACACATGGAACCATGGTCTTTAGAAATGAGGTGTCAGACTGCACATGTTTTAGAAGCTTCCCTGGTGCTTCTGTGCCGTGCAGATATTCACATGGCTGCTTCTGAATACAAAAGACAAAACTGTAGTCAGACTCTAATTATCCATGAATTATGAAAACTCAGGGTTTCCATTCTAGCTGTGACCTTGTCACTGCCCTCTGCTACCTATACATCAAAATATGCTGAAATTCCAATGCACAAAACTAGAGAAGGATGAAATTCCCAATCCATTATGCAACTTGCTACCTAGTAAGAATTTAATGGGGAGGAACTACTCGTTTGATTAAAAGGAAAAAAAACTACACACATACACACACACACACACACACCTGTGTGAAAAATGGCACAGGACTCCTGAAATGGAATCTTAGCGAAATCTTTCAAAGTGCTTCAGTTATTTAAATGAGCAGTATATTCATTTGATAGACTTCATTGCCCAAAACATTCAGAAATAAATATATGACTTATGAAAAAAAATCTTACAGTAAAAAGAAATTAATGGAATCTTTTAAAGTAATACATGTCACGCAGTGAACAAGGTGCTTCACAGACATCTTATTCAACTCTTACCATGACCTTAAAGAGGGGGATTTTATTATTTCCGTTTAAAAATGGAAGACAGGCTTCCCTGGTGGCGCAGTGGTTGAGAGTCCGCCTGCCGATGCAGGGGACACAGGTTCGTGCCCCGGTATGGGAAGATCCCACATGCCGCTGGGCGGCTGGGCCCATGAGCCATGCCCGCTGAGCCTGCATGTCCAGAGCCTGTGCTCCCCAACGGGAGAGGCCACAACAGTGAGAGGCCCACGTACCGCAAAAAAAACAAAACAAAAACAAAACAAAAAAAAACAAAAAGGAAGAAACTGGATCTCAGAGAGATTATTTGCTTGACATAACTCTGCTACTAAGTACAGCCCCAGAATTTGAACCCACTTCCTTGTAACTAAAATGCCTTGAGGTCTCCACCACATCATAAGGCCCCAGGAAATTCCGTATTAGTGGTTCTCAAAGTGTGGTTCCTGGATCAGCAGCGTCAGCATTGCCAGGGAACTTATTAGAAAGCAAATTCTCAGGCCCCACCACAGTCTTACTGCATCAACAACTCTGGGGCTAAGATTCAGGATCCGGGTTTTCACAAGCCCTCCAGAGGATTCCAATGCACTAACGTGTTTGAGAATCACTGCCCTATTTCATTCTTAGCTGCCCAGAAAACCAAAACAAAATCGAGCAAACAAGTCATAGATTCTTTTGTGGGCGTGGAATAAGAATTTGATGATGAGCTCACTGTTTCAGGAATGTTGGCATTTTTACGGCCAAACCAAACTGCTTGCAACGCCTGCTCCACTGCAGGCTTAATTCTTTGACATTTAAATTACGAATCAATACTTGACTTAGTTTATTTCTATGGACCCTACTACCCTAACAAAGTGTCAGCGCTAGTGCAGGACATCACATGAATACTTGGCAAAGTCTTTTTTTTTTTTTTTTTTTTTTGCGGTATGCGGGCCTCTCACTGTTGTGGCCTCTCCCGTTGCGGAGCACAGACTCCAGACATGCAGGCTCAGCGGCCATGGCTCACAGGCCCAGCTGCTCCGCGGCATGTGGGATCTTCCCGGACCAGGGCACGAACCCGTGTCCCCTGCATAGGCAGGCAGACTCTCAACCACTGCGCCACCAGGGAAGCCCAATACTTGGCAAAGTCTTTTTATTTTTAATCATGTTTGATCAGATTTCCATCCACATCCCTTAAACACATTTAGTTGCTTTTCTTTTCTCAAACTTGACCTTCAGATGCCCCCAAAGGGAACATGATCCTGAAACCAGTTGGAAAATAAATTTACCGCAAGGAATGTCCAAATACAGGGGGGAAACAACAGGAGCTCTTTATATTAATAACAATTGCTGCTACTCACGATTTGCCAAGCAGTTTCCTGCATTAGCTCATTCGGTCCTCACAGTAAACAGATAAAGCAGATATAATAAATCCTATTTGCAGATGACGACTAAGCTGCCGCCCAAGTTCTCACAGGCGGCAATTGGTCAGTCTTTGCTCCTAATGACTAGGCTAGGATGCATCTTTCTTCTTCATGCCTATTTAATTTTCCCTGACCCTCTAAAACTATCCTTCAGATGTCAGTCATAGCCCATGACACCTTGAAGCCACCGGTATGGCCAAGCCAGGCCTGGGGAGCTGTCTGCCACTACCCCTGAGAGACGCCAGTCTGTCCTTGACTAGGGAAAGTCAGTCGTCTCTATTTCTTCATGAAAGCGCACTGCGTTTGCAAGAAGTCAAACATTTATATTCAGAAGAATGGATGAAAGAGAAAAACACGGGGTGCCAATCCTGCTGACAAGGAACATATTTAAAGCCAAACACTCCAGAGCAAGAATAGCAGCTGCTGCAGGTAGGTTTTGAAGGTGAGGCAAAGCCAAATCCCGCATCACTTCCTAAAGCCCTGGAAAGGCCATGTCCCAAAGTTAAGCTTTCAAATCAGAGCCTCATATAAACCTTCAGGACTTAGGAATTCTCGAAGAGCCAGGGAGAAATGATCACTCTCTGCTCAGTGTCTGCCACTTCCCCTTCTATATGCAGACAACTCCCACAGCTGTATTCCCAGCCCAGACTTCTATTTTGAACACTGGTTATATCTCATGTATCAACTCGTTATTTCCTTTCAAAATGACTTCTTCTACCATGTATCAGTTACATGGTACTTACTTGTGCTTTATACATATTTGCTCATTTAACCCTCAGAACGCATCCTATTATGATCCCATCTTCCAGGGGAGAAGACTGAGGCACCGAGAGCTAAAAGACTTGCTGACAGTCTGTGGCACAGCCAGGATTTGAACCCAGGCAACCTGGCTCCACTGTCTGTGCTCGTCCCCAGTTTGCTCTTCTTCTTCAATCCCTTTAAATG